GATTCTTCTAGCCCAAGCAGGAGAGTCATCTAAATGAATGCTTACCTTATAATCAAAGTTTTCATTTAAGAAGTTCTTACGAAGTGCATCTGAGAGGTACAGAACTGTTGTAATAATAACACTAGTGAGAAAAAAAAATGTCAAGGTGAAAACTTCGTATTAGTGAAAATCATTTAGTATACAAGAATAAAAAGCTACTAAGATAAAATAAAACCTTCAGTAAGCATCTGGAACAATATTAAATAATTCATATTTGAAACAAAAAAGAGATGACGGGTCAAAAAAAGGGGAAGGAATCCATCACTGAAGTCAGGTCCTTTGTAAACTGATACACAAAAGATCTATGAATTCATATGACTCAGACAGAAATATATTATTACCTTGATGTTTTGTAATGATTTTTGTTAATTTCCAAACAAAACAAAATGATTTACTACAAACATAACATTCCATATTTTTCTGTTTTCGAGACAGGGTCTTGCTCTGTTGCCCAGGCTGGAGTGCAGTGGCATGATCACAGCTCACTGCAGCCTTGAACTCCTGGGCTCAAGTGATCCTCCTGCCTCAGCCTCCCAAGTAGCTGGGTCTACAGGTGCCTGCTGCTGTGTCCAGCCAAATGGTTTTTCAGTTTTTGTGAGACGGGGTCTCACTATGTTGACCAGGCTGGTCTTGAACTCCTGACCTCAAGCTATTCTCCCGTCTGGGCCTCCCCAAGTGCTAGGATTATAGGCAACATTCCATATTTGATTATCATAAAAGAAAGTCATGCTTTTTAAAATACAGAGGAAAAAATGGAGCCCAAAGACAAAATGGATAGGAAAAAATAATAGAATATATTGAGTATTTATTAGCCTTCTCTCTGTTCTCCTCTGTTTAAGGTATTAGAGGGCATGGGAGAGCTATGGAAAGCAGATTCCCTCTTTAAGGGCGACAAGACTGCCACTAAAGAAACAATTACAGACTGTGAAATTGTCTATAGTCCAGTACTAAGCTGTGCGAAACCGACAGAGTACTACAGACATTCAGAGAAAGGGTCATCTCCAGGGCAGGAGGAATCAGGAAAAGCCTGACCAATACAGCCACAGGTAGCTCACTGGGGAGATTTTAAAAGGAAGGATTTGGTGGTTAGTTCTAGAGCTCTGCAATTTGTTCAAAATCTGCTAATTTTTATAACCAGAAGATAAATATTTAAAGTTGAATATATTTCCAATTGGTTCACTTAATGTTTAATACAACATTATACTAAAGCAAGATAAGCCACCCCCTGAGCTGCTATAAACTGAGGACCAATATATAAATTGTTGATATTTAAAATTTCTTTGACCTTAGAATTCTAAGATGCATGTGCAATGAGTGTGTGATATGATAAAGCCTCAGTTCTCTTCATGGGATTTGGAATTGGAGGATGTATTTATGTCAACCTAGGTAAAACGAAAAAACAAAAGAAAACAAAATACATGATCAACTTCATACCTTGGCTATCTTGCTAATAAAGATTATATTTACTAATTAGAAAAATACAGACTTTGAAAGACAAATATTCATTATTGTTATCTACTGGGAAACTCACTATTATAGTTTTCTTGTCGGGTAGGGAAACATTAACAAGGGTAAGTTGATGGTTAAATGTGGAAGTTCAAGGTAACAAAAATGAAACAAAACCACAATTTCACGGGAATCCGCTCTACCATGAACAGGCATTGTTACATGGGTGTGCATTTTATATATGCATACGCACCTTTCAGTGAATCTTACTATTAAATTTAAGTATAAGAAAAACCTATGAGATTGAGAAGTCATGGTTTCTTCAGTCCCCTAAATGGCAGGTATCATCAGACAAAGTCATATCAAAGATAAACATCACCTGCAAATGATGGTATAATGTGCCAATTTCACATAGACACTGGAAAAATCAATGATAATTGAAGACATCATTAATGTTCCAAAGTATTTTACTCAAGTTTTACTATATGAAACTGAAGCTGAATCATCAGAAAATAAAAGGCTACCAGGCAAGGGAGTTGTTCTTGCCTAGCATCTAGCAAGATCATTGGACTTCTAAGTGTAACGAAGAAAAATCTGGGCTGGGCACGGTAGATCATGCCAGTAATCCCAGCACTCTGGGAGGCTGAGGTGGGCAGATCATGAGGTCAGGAGATCGAGACCATCCTGGCTAACACAATGAAACCTCGTCTCTACTAAAAATACAAAAAAAATTAGCTGGGCGTGATGGCGGGCACCTATAGTCCCAGCTGAGGTTGAGGCAGAAGAATGGCGTGAACCCAGGAGGTGGAGCTTGCAGTGAGCTGAGACCGCGCCACTGCACTCAGCCCGGGCGACAGAGTGAGACTCCGTCTCAAAAAGAAAAAAGAAAAATCGGTATCCTTAACATATGGTTATAAGCACAACCTTTCTGCTTTGATGTTCAACGGAGAAATATACACAGTCCCACTACACCTGAGGTTTACATTAAAAATCACCTTGTGGCCCACAGTTTCAGCTTAGACTGATGTTCAGACACAATACCTCTGGTGTTAGTGAAACGTGACATATCTGGAATTCGGACTGTCAGGCCAAATGTCACAGAAAGGAGCTAACAAACCCAATCTTCCAAGGGAGAGAGAAGTTATTTCATGGCAAAGATTACCAAATTGTTATTTACATGGTGGATCCCAAACACACAAAAAATATTTGTGGCTTTTTGAAGTACACTTGCTGGTAAACAACATGGAACCTCATGGCCTTACTATGGAACAGTGGCTCCCAACCTGCCCTGGGCCCTAGAATCACCTGGGAGCTCTTAAAATACGATGTCTGGGCCACATCGTCAGAGACTTCTGATTGGTCTGGGCTACAATCAGAACATCAGGATCGTCAAAACTCCCAAGTGATTCTTATGGTCCAGAGCTGAGAACCACTGCTCTACCTCAGAGCAGTGCTTCTCAAACTTTAACAGGTACCTGGTGATCTAGTTAACGTGCAGATGATCCAGCAACCCTGGAGCGGGACTGGAGATTTTGTATTTCTAACAAGCTCCAGTGGATGCTAATACTGTTGGTTTGCAACCACTCAATGAAGAGCAAGGCTCTGGAGTGGCCCGAGTCAGAAATATTCCCACAAATTCTGCTTCAGCATTCTCCTGACTTCTGGAATGTTAGGACGATTCGTATGGGGCCTGCAGTTCTTATTTCTAGATTGAACACCTCACCCTCTTATCAGGGCTGCCTTACCATTAGGCAGAAAGAGGCACAGGGCATAGGGCCTGTGAGCCTTTCAAGGACTTTCGAAAACATTGAGACCTGAAAGAATGTTATGCAACCAAATTGAAACTGCAAAATAAAAAGTAAAAATAATGAGTAATTACATGTCCACAGAAAGGGACATGATGACTTTCATTAATTGTCCAATATTTATGCAATTTTAAAATTATAGATTTTATAATTTTACAATTCCTAAATATAGTACACATAAATGCTGAGAAATCACAGCCAATCAAAATTAAACTATTTTACTTGATAAGCCAATAATTAAGAAGCAAATATAAAAAATACTTATAATTTTTTCTTCAGCAAAATTGTATCCAGTGTGGCATGTGGGTCTACTTAGTGTTTGATAGGATGAGGAGTAGGGCCTCCAAAAATATGACTGCTCAGGGCTAGAAAGATCTTAAAATGACTGTTCAAAGGCTTTTCTTTCCTACCTATAACATTCAGCCCAAGCCACCAAGGCAGTTCCCAGAGCCTTCTACGGTAACTCATCACTGAGACCATTTCCTAACACACAGGTCCCTAAGCCAGCCAGAGGCATTTATACATTATTGCTCCTTCATTTTAGTGGATACCTGTGGTGTTTAGGGATCGTTCTTTACCTGTTTCAATTTATCCAAAACCATGTGGCTTCTCTGGTTTCATTCTTTCACTTACAACTCAGTGTTTGAACATGGGGATATTGCAAATCTCAGTGTTCCAACTCAATAGTCAAAAAAGATTTTCAATCTGCTACCACAAATGGCCAAATTACTGGTTTATTCCTTATTTACCTTCCTTCCTTGCCCTCCCCCTTCCCCTCCCCTCCCTTCCCCTCCTTTCTCTCTTTCTCTCTCTCTTCTCTTTCCTTCTGACTGAGTCTCTCCCTCACCCAGGCTGGAATGCAGTGGTGTGATCTGTGCTCACTGCAACCTCTGCCTCCCACGTTCAAGCGATTCTCTTGTCTCAGCATCCCAAGTAGCTGGGATTACAGGTGCCCACCACTGTGCCAGGCTAATTTTTTTATTTTTAGTTGAGATGGGGTTTTGCCATGTTAGCCAGGCTGGTCTCGAACTCCTGACCTCAAGTGATCTGCCCTCCTCAGCCCCACTGTGCGTGGCCCAAATTACTGATTACTGCCACAGCAAGGCATGCACTAGGATCATTTCTGACAATCATAATCTACAGGCACAGCATGATAAAACTTACGTCTAAAAGAGAAACTGGTGTACAGGAAATCAAAGTTACTGCTTTATGGTTTTCCAGTTGCCATGTCATTTTGGGCTTAAGAAATAACTTCAAGCAACCCTATTTCTCCCTCTCCCTCTCACCCAGGAAAGCTTATCTCCCATAATTTTTTTTTAATTACTCCAGTTTGATAATCTGCTCAAACACAAGCCCAAAAATCATACATGGACTGAGAGAAATACCTTTGTGGATAAACTGGGTCTCGACAATACTGATGTGTATATAATGAAAAACTAAGGACATCTGAACCTGGAGTCCAACAATTTCCCTACAACCTGGTGGATTAATTGGGACAGCGAAAAATCAACACAAAGACATTTAGGGGAGATGAAATTCCTGGATAACCAATATGGGAATGCATCCAAACTAGTGGTTCTCAAACTTCAGCATGCATGAGAATCACCCAAAGGATGCTTAAGACTTCAGGGTCTTACCACTACCTATGGCTTGGGAGGTTTGCAACCAGGCCCAACCAGGTGATTCTGAGGCATGTGGTCATCCTTCTTATTTTGAAGACTGGTGTTACACATGGAAGAGAAGATAAGGAAGGGCTGGGACTTAGAGAGCAATGGCATCTGGGAATTTGGCCTTGTTTGCCACGGCATCCACAGGGGCGGAGACTAGTAAG